TCCCCTGGGCATGCACAGTCACTTTCTGTTTTCGCCATATATGCACTTGCTTTTGACTGTCCTTGTCTTTAATATCTGGCTTCCAAGAGGAGAAAAAGCAAAAAATGAAAGAGGAGAGAAAAGGGCACCAACCCTTTAAATCCCCTGGAAGTCACTTCAGTGGAGAGGAAGGGGCTTGCAACAACGGAGGAGGTGCAACGACAATGGCAGCCTTCCTCTTCATCTGCACCTCTTGTCAGAAGCAGCCATCAGAGCACAGATCCCTGATATTTGGAGGAGAGAGTCCTCTTTGCCCACCTTGATTCCCATAAGCTGTGTGCAAGCTGCTCCAGGAACACGTGCACAACTGCCTGCTGTGTAGTTGGGGGTGGGGATGGGTAGCTGCTTCTGTGCTAAGAGCTGAAATCGACCAAAATTAACCACTTTTACTGCCCAAGACTTCCCCTGGAAGTTGCAAGCCTTCAACAGACTCCAGAGTTCTAGAATGGTTCCATCAGACAGATTCTGCCAGCGCAGCTGTTGTCCAGGTGGGGAGACGGACTCCAGAGTTCTAGAATGGTTCCATCAGACAGATTCTGCCAGCACAGCTGTTGTCCTGGTGGGAAGACAGACTCCAGAGTTCTAGAATGGTTCCATCAGACAGATTCTGCCAGCGCAGCTGTCGTCCAGCACCCAGAAGGCTCCTTCTTGTCCCCTGTCAATCTATACCCCCAGAGATAGTCATTAATCTGATTCTGTCCCCAGTGATTTTGAGCTTCATGTAAATGGAACCACACAGTAGGGGCTCTTTCATTCTGGCTCCTTTTGCTCACATCCTGTCTGTGGGATTCATCCATTTGGTTGAGTGTAACAGAAGTTTATTCCAATAAAAGTTGCTGTATAGCACCCATTGTAAGAAGGCACCCTAATTTTTTTATGCCCTCTCCCATTGGTGGGTGCTGTGATCACAGTGGCTGTGACTATTTATGTACATAACCTGTGGTGGATGTGAGTGCTGCTGTCTCTTGGTTTTATATCCAAAAGTGGAATTGCTGGGTCACAGGGTGTGCATATGTTACCTGTAGCAGATAACTTGCAAATAACTATTTGAATTGGTTGCAACCTTTTCCAGTCCCATTTGCTATATCCTCACCCACGCAGTACTATCGCTCTTTTCACTTTAGCCATTCTGATGGGTCTGTAGTTGTACCTGTGGATTTAATTTGTATTTCCCTCATGAGTATAATATTGAGCACCTTTCATATGATTGATGGTATTTTGGATATACTCTTCTGTGATCCAATTTTTCAAAGACTTTGCCTATTTTAAAATTTCGGTTAACTGACTTTCTTATTGATTTGTAGTTCTTTATATCTTCTGTATGTCAGTCCTTTATAATATATATTGAAAATATACTTTCTCCCAGTCCAGGATTTGGCAAACAATGATTTGTGGGCCAAAACTATTCTGTGGCCTATTTTTGTATGGCCTGCAAGTTAAGAGTGGTTGTTACAGTTTTTTGGGGTTTTTTGAGGAAGATTAGCTCTGAGCTGACAACTGCCCTCCAATCCTCCTCTTTTTTGCTGAGGAAGACTGGCCCTGAGCTAATATCTGTGCCAATCTTGCTGTATTTTATATGTGGCATGCCTGCCACAGCATGGCTTGAGAAGCGGCGCATAGGTCCACATCCAGGATCTGAACTGGTGAACCCTGGGTTGCTGAAGCAGAACGTGTGAACTCAACCACTGCACCACTGGGTCAACCCCTGGTTGTTACAGTTTTTTAGAAACAGACAAATAAACAAAAATAGGGAAGAGTATGTAATGGAGAATATATGTGGCCCATAGAGCCCAAAATATTTATCTGGCCCAGGCTATGTTTTAGCTTGTCTTTTCACACTTTAATAGTGGTGTCTTTTGTTGAACAGAATCTCTTCATTTTTTGTTTTTTTGTTTTTGTGAGAGTAAGATTGGTCCTGAGCTAACATCTGTTGCCAATCTTCCTCTTTTTTTTTCACTTGAGGAAGATTGTCTCTGAGCTAACATTTGTGCCAATCTTCCTCTGTTTTATGTGGGATGCCACCACAGTGTGGCGTGATGAGCGGTGCTGGGTCCGTTCCTGGCATCCAAACCTGCCAACCCCCAGCCACTGAAGCAGAGCATGGAAACTTAACCACTATGCCACCAGGCTGGCCCAGAATCTCTTCATTTTAATGAAGTCCAATGAACCATTTTTTAAACATTTAAGATTTTTTTTGTGCTAAGAACTCTTTTTTTTTTTTTTTTTGAGGAAGATTAGCCCTGAGCTAACTACTGCCAATCCTCCTCTTTTTGCTGAGGAAGCCTGGCCCTGAGCTAACATCCATGCCCATCTTCCTCTATTTTATATGTGGGACGCCTACCACAGCATGGCTTTTGCCAAGCGGTGCCATGTCTGCACCTGGGATCCGAACTGGTGAACCCTGGGCTGCCAAGAAGCGGAAAATGCGAACTTAACTGCTGCGCCACCGGGTCGGCCCCTAAGAACTCTTTGCCCTCTAGGAAAGATATTTTCCTGCGTTTACTTCTATAAGCTGTAGTGTTTTAAGCCTATCATCCATTTCAAATTAATTTTTCTATATAGTATAAAGTACAGTTAAGATTTTTTTTCCCCGAATGGATTTCCATTTATTTCAGCATCATTTATTAAAAGTGCCATTGTTTCTCCACTGAATTAGAGTAGTGTCTTTGTCTTAAATCAGGTTTCTGTATATGTGTAGATCTTTTTCTGGAATTTGTTCTGTTTCATTGGTTTATTTGTCTATCCTTGTGCTAATACTCCCCTGGCTTAGTTACAGTAGCTTTATAGTATGTCTTGATATCCTATAGTAGAAATTCTCCATCTTTGTTCTTCCACATGGTATTGGCTATTCTAGGCTCTTTGCATTTCCTTATAAAATTATGTGATATACTTAAAAAAAAAAAACCTGCTTGGATTTTGATTGTATTTTCAATGTGTATGACAAACGATTCCTATGCAGACTCTATAGAGAACTCCTATCAATAAGAAAAAGCCAGTTAACACAGTTTTTAAATGGGCTAAATATTTGAAATAATGAAATAATCTTTCTAATGAAAAATATGCAAACCTCTACCTGTGATGCCACAAGGACAGCACAATCAACCTAGCTGAGCCCAACCCAAATTGCCGACCCACAGAAATGGGAACAAACAAAATGGTGGTTGTTTTGGTGTGGTTTGTTATGGGGCAGTAGGTAACTGATGCAACCTGGCTCCAGCTTCCGCTCGTGAATGGAGCACTTTCAGTCCCTGTTTTGCTGCATGACCGGAGCTCCAGCCTGGCTGCTGGCCCCAGTGCCCAGCTGGGCCCTGGCCTCAGCCCTGCTGCTGCTTTGTAGTTCTCATCTATTTCTGCTCCAAAGAGACATTCATGTTTTGTGGGGGTTTTCCAAACTGTCTTCTTATTTTTCTCTGTTTATACTAATCCATTACTGCTGTGTGTTTAAACACAAAGAATGCATTAATGTGTGAATTTATTGTACTATTTTAGCTGGAAGCTCATGTTCTCTTAATTCTTTGAGATCAATTTGTTACTGAATTTTTTGTTTCCTAAGGTATGACTTATTCCTGAAGGGATCCATTATCTGTCTTTTAATGCTTTGTTCTTTTGTTTTTCTTGTTATCATTTGTTTCTTTGACTGCAGAGTTTTGGCATAGTTTAACTGAGAAAATTGTTTCTAGGTTTTTCTTTTTGCTTAGATACTATTTTTTGTATTATACTTGTCCCACTCGTGATTTCTCTGGACCCTATTTGTAAACTTCTTTCAGAATTTTAGCCTAAAGGCACTTCTCTTCTGATAAAGAGTAGATGCAGATGATATTTCACCAGAGTTGATTGGTTTAGGCTCTGCTCTCTCTTTTCTTTTATAATTTTTTTTAAAGTACTGGCCTTCTTTTCTGACTAAAATGGTGGGGAGGCGAGGGCTTTATTAATTCAGCGTGTCCTACTGCTCTGCTCTGCTCAGCGCTGTATTTATCAGCTATTTCATAAGGTATGTTTGTTTTTTTCACCTGGACCATCTGTGCCCTAGTGAAATGAAAAAGAGAAACCTTAACTACGTAGGAGTCAGGAAGGCCTGTAGGGGGAGCCCTCAAGCCCTATCATACACTGTCAGTTACTCCAAATAGAAAGAGAAGTATGCTTGCATCTCAAGACAGGAAAGTGTTTACTACTTTCCTACTGATGAGGAGGAAGGGAGACGTCTCTCCCCGCGAGACAGCAGCCCAGGCAATGAGAGATGCTGCAGCTCAGCTAATGAGAAGCTGTTGCTGCCCCCAGTGGACCATCCTTTGGAACAGCTCCTCCCTCTCCCCCTTTTTCTCTATAGAAGCAGCTCCCCTCTTTTGTTCTGTAGATTTGCCTTAGGTTTACCATAGCATGCACATTCAAAATTGCAGTTTTTTGGTCTATTCCTACATAGACTTGTTTTGCGAGTAAAACAGCTGGCTGCTTTTCTAAGTTGACACTCAGCACCACTCATCCCTGGCTGTGTCCCCGTTTGGGCTGGTGTGGCTGTCCAGAGTGCTGTCGCTTGTTTCTCCTGCAGCTGCTCTCTCTGTCAGGAGGAAAGCCTCTACATGGTCATCGCTGTAGTCACCATGTGGCTTGGTCCTGACTCTTCTGCCTTGGGATCTTTCGATATCTGGAAGTTTATGATGTGATGCTGGGTCCCTTTTCTAGTCATAATATTGCTAGAGAATTCATTCTTTCCTTCCTTCATTTTGGTGTATTATTTACTACTTTTGCTTCTTTCAGCTTGCTTCCTTAGGTTTGGTGGAGAATGATTCTATGAGCCTGAATATTCCACCATGAGTCAAAATATGTAGTTTTTAATGTCCATTTTGGTAAATTGTAGATTAGTTTTTATTCTCATAAGAGCTTTTGTTGGGATTTGTTTGATGAAAAAATTAAATCTTAAATTGTGAAAACAATGAGATAAATTATGTTTATCACATTCACAGTCTCGTCTCAAGGAATTGGAGCAAGAAGCCCATTTTGTTGCAGGAGAACAGTTTCTTATAACAAGTAATAATCAGCTTCGAGAGGTAAAGCTAAATTTTACTCTTTTATAAAATATACTTCTTATTCAGGGGTTAAAGGAAGATTCATTCTGAATTTATAAATATTATTTTACGTTGATTATCTTAAAACTATTTAAGTTATTCATGTTCTCTCACATTAAGATTCATTACTTCAAAGCCTTTAAATCCAAGAAAAGTATTAAATCAGAATTTATGCATTTTGTAACATCTAATCGGGTATGTCTTCTCTGGTTGGTCGCTTTAACTGTGTTATAGTGATGTTTGATTTTTCTCAAATCTGGGACTCTCTTATCACATGAAATTTCTTTTGTTGAAGATCCTCTTTGGCAAGCTAAAGCTGCACCTGCTGAGGCCAAGGGAGACTCTTCCCAAAACGGGGCTGCAGGGACACCTGTCCACATCAGAAGCCATGGTAAGGTTTGAGAATCGTCCTCTTTTTTTGAAATTGATAGTGTAACTGCACCACATGTGAGTCAACTCCCAGACCAGCCTGGCTTCCAGCAGTGGGACTTGCCAGCAGCAACCACCATGGAGCAGTTCAGTTTGATCGTTTCCTCTTTATGGCAGAAGTGCTCCTACCCCACGGTTGCCGTCCTCCCTATGAACCAAGGAGAAAGAGGCAGACAGTACAGTTTTCCAGAAGCAATCCGTTGGCTTGATTTCCTGAAAAGGACAATTTGGTGGAATTTTGTTCTGAAAACCAGATTCTTGACAATCTAGTCATGACCTCTTTGTTTCATGCCCCTGCAAGAGACTAGAAATGGGAAAGGTCTTCAGCCTTCTCCTTTCCCCAGATTTATTTTAGAAAATTTTAGGTGCTCTTCTCTTGAGAGGAATACATTTTTTAAAAGACAGGGAGTACTGAGATTCTACTCTATTAAAGTTGCAGAGTAGAAGTAGACATTTAGAAGCCAATAAGTAATATTACTGAAAGCATGCAGGGTAGAGGTCAGTAAATAAGTGGATTCATGTTATTATGGTGAGAACTAGGCTCCAATTTGTACATTCTGTTCTTGTTCAACATTTGACTTCGCAGCAGAGGAAAGCTTCCTTCTAGACTCCTTCTCTGTGCATAGTGCCCCTCCAGCACTACACTTTCTGCTTGTGTCAGCCCTGGAGGAGCCCCACATTCACTGACTCTCCCCACACCTGGCCCTCAGGGGGTTCAGGTGGCAGTTATCTATTGAGTCACGGACTTCTGTGGAGTGATGTTCTACTGAAGGGACTTGAATCTGCCTTCTTCCCCAAGTCTTCCTTATCTTAGTGAATGGCCTGTCCTCCTGTGTCCTTGGGGGCCAGCAGTGGGTGGAGCAACAGCAGTGGAGTCAGCCACCCTGCCTACCTGCACAGCTTGGGCCATGTTACTTGACTGCTCTGTGCCTTAGTTTCCTTATCTGTAAAAGAAGGATCATAATAGTGCCTCTCTACTTGAATCTTGTGAGGATTCAACAAGTGCGTGTGAGAGAGAGAGAGAGTGTGTGTGTGTGCGTGTGTGTGGGTGTAAAACAGTATTTAGGACCGTGCCTTACATATGAGTTCTCAAAGACCAATAAGTATTGGCTATTGTTATTAGCTACTTCATCCAAAAACCTACAAGTCATCTTTAATTTTCTTTCAGACTCACCCCACAGCAAGTCTCAGGATCTCTACGTACAAAAATATGTCTTGAGTTAGCCTGCTTCCCTCCAGCACTGTCACCCCTTAGTCTTCTCCCACTTAGATTCTTTAAAGCCTCCTAAGCACTCTCCCAGCTTCTACTCTTAGCCCTGCGGGTTATTTATCACATCCAGGCAGAAGGATCTTTTAAAACATTAGAAAAGTCGTGTTACTCCCCTGACTTAAACTTCTGATGGCTTCATGTGAGACTCAGAATAAAATCCAAGTTCTGGATTTTATTTAAGGTGTCCTCTGGCCTGTGGGTCTGCCTTGCCTCCTATCACTCCTTTCCTCCTTACTCCCTGCACCCCACTGAGCACACTGTTTATGCCATGGATTTCTGCACAAGCTCTTTTCTCGGTCTGGAGACTCTTCCCACAGATTTTGCATGGCTGGTTCTGATTGTCAGCTTAAGTGTTGCTTTCAGAAAGACCTCCTCTGGTCACACAGATGACAGCAAGGCCCTCATCACTACCTATTTCTTCACCTTGATTTGTTTTTTCCATACAACTCTCCATTACCTAAAGTTATCTCACTTACTTGTTTGCTTATTCCACTAAGATGTAGGTTGCACAGATCTAAGACCTCATCTGACTTGTTTGTCACCTCCCAGAACCAAACGGCCTAGAGCTAGCACCTGGTGGGGCTGAACTGAATGTCTGTTGTTTGTTCATGGAGCACCGTGACAGCAGGGAGCAGAACCCATCTTCCTGGAGAGACTCCAGCATGGATTTTAGCACCCGTATGACAGAGGTGGGCAGTATGCCCTAAAGTTCCAGCAATGGCAGTACCTGGGAAACCCACACTTGAACTGGGGGTCTCGGGCTGATTTATTCTCTGTCCTGGCACCAGCTGGCAGTGTTGCCCTTCCCTTTGCTGCTCCTTAGTGCTTGCAGACAACTAACAACGTAAGAAAGGAAATGTAATCTCTTCTGGTGTCGATGTGCTCTTTTGTAGACAGAATTGAGACAATGACCTTAATTTTTTTTCACAAAGATATGATTGACATCAATCATATTAGCCTTATTTTCTTCTTTAGTTAATCAAGTCATACTTTTAACATAAAAGTTAGTAAAAGATTAACTTTTATTAGGCAACACATGTGTGTGGTTCTAAATTTGAAATTAAGACTCCTTCTGCCTACTTCTCTTCACCTTCCCTATTCCTCTCCCCATGGGGAGGGATTTAGACTGGATAAAACGGGTGGCCTGGAATGGTTCAAAAGGACATGACTGTGGTCTTAGATATGGTTTTATTAGATTTTATTTTTCAGAGTAGTTTTAGGTTCACAGCAAAATTGAGCAAAAGGTGCAGAGAAGTCTTGTATACCCCTTGTCCTCCCCCCACAACAGCCTCCCCCACTAGCAACATCCCCCACAAGAGTGGTACATTTGTTACAATGAATGAACCTGCATTGACACATCATTATTACCTGAAGTCCATAGTTTACATTAGGGTTCACTCTTGGTGTTGTACGTTCTATGGATTCTAACAAATGTGTAATGATATAATGATGGATATAATATATCCACCATTATACTATCATACAGAGTAGTTTCACTCCCTAAAAGTCCTCTGTGTTCTGCCTATTCATCCCTCTCTCCTCTAAACCCCTGGCAACCACTGATCTTTTTACTGTCTCCATAGTTTTGCCTTTTCCAGAATGTTGTATAGCATAGAATCATATAGCATTGGAATCATATAGCATGTAGCCTTTTTAGATTTGATTCTTTCACCTAGCAGTAATGCATTTAAGGTTCCTCTGTGTCTTTTTGTGATTCGATAGCTCATTTATTTTTAGCACTGAATAATACTCCATTGTCTGGATGGTCTACAGTTTATTTATGCATCTACCCACTGAGGGACACCTTGTTACTTCCAAGTTTTGGCAACTATGAATGAACCTGCTGTAAATATCCATGTGCAGGTTTTTGTGTAGACATAAGTTTTCAGGTCCCTTGGGTAAATACCAAGGAGCAGGATTGCTGGATCGTATGGTAAGAGTATGTTTAGTTTTGTAAGAAACCACCAAACTGTCTTCCAAATGTGGCTGTACCATTTTAAATTCCCACCAGCAATGAATGAGAGTTCCTGTTGCTCTATATCTTCATCAGCATGAGGTGTCAGTGTTTTGGATTCGGGCCATTCTAACATGTGTTAGCTATATTTTAAAAAGACCACTCTTGTAACTGGTTGGAGAATGGAGGAGTCTCATTAATAGGCTGCTGCTGTAGTGTAGGGGCTGATGTCTCAGTAGTCCAAGTGAGAACAGTGAAGATGGAGCAAAGCAGATGCATTTTCAGAGAACTTTTATAACAGAAGGGAACATCTGTGAGTGTGAGTTCATGTGAGTGTGAACAAAAGTCAGGAATGTGGAGTAATTCCTGGTTTTCTTAGTTGTGCACCTAAGAGATGGCCACTACTCAGGGAAAGCTGAGAAAAGAGTGGTTTATTGGGGGGGACATCAAGCTTTCAATCTTGGACATGTTAAGACAGAAGTGTTCACAAGACATTGACACAGAGATGTTGCACAAGCATTTGGGTCTGTAAGAAGTCTTGTGCTGGAGATACACACTTGGAAGTGGTCAGCTGATTTTTATTAAAGTTACCCTGGGATGGTGGTCCTCTACCTTGACAGGAGCTTTGGAAAAATGCCCGTGTCCAGGCCCATGACTGATCCACAGATCAGAGTCTGATTCTAATAAGCAGCCAACATTGATAACCACAGACTTAAACTCTGAGAAACTGACATTTAGAGGTCAGGGAGGAGGTGCCAGTGAGAGGCTATGGAGTGGTCAGAGAGAGAAGGGAGATGAGAAGAATGTGGTATCAGGAGCCAACACAGGGAGTGTTTGATAAAGCTTGTGGAGTGGCAGGCAGCTATGGCACTGTGCCTCTGCTCATTAACCAACTCTGGTAGGGCCTTATCCAAAGTTTTATGAAATCAAACACTCAGTTCTTTTCAAGTGTTCTCAGATGGCTTGAGTCAAGATATACAGGGAGACTGTGGTTAGAATGTTATTTTGTGAGTAAGGTATCAGGGTGGGGAGAGCTAGTTGATCTTAGGCAGTTTCTTGGCTAAGTATTTTCATACACTTTCATCCCCCAGGGATAGTTTTTCTAAGAAAACTGCAATTCTAGATTATACTAAGGCAGAATTCCTCCCCCTGGGCAATGCCTGCTCCAAGCACACCAATGTTGGTTCTCCTGTTTGTGTGTCCCTGGCTGGCCAAGACTCTTGTATCCTCAGTCTTTATTCAAACAGAGAGTGATACAATTCCATGGCTTATACTATTTCATTAAAATTATATCATCAGTTCTTCCCCAATTTGAGTTATAGATTCAAAACAATTCTATTTAAAACCCTAGCAGGAGTTTTTTGTAGAAATTGACAAGCTGATTCCCAAATTTATATGGAAATGCAAAAAACTAAGAGTGAATACAATCTTGGGGAGCATTATTAGAGGACTTAATCTATTGGATATAAAGAGTAATCATACAGCATAGGAGTTACTAGGAATTAATTAAGCAGTAAAGTGTAGTGTTGATTCAAGGATAAACAAATAAACCAATGGACCCAGGATAGAGAATTTATAAACAGACCTCCATATGTGTGTATAAAACACATGATCTCTGAGAGGGGTGGCACTGCAAAGTAATGAGTAATAATGCCTAGTTACATAAATGATAAGGGACCAGTGCATCTATTTCATACCATACACAAAAATAAATTCCAGAGGACTGATGTCAGCATCA